CAAAGGTTGTGAAGAGTCCAAATGGCTTCGCCATTTTCTAGAGGATATTCCTAATTGGGAAAGACTGGCACCTCCAATATGTGTGGATTGCGATAGCCAAGCCACAATTGGGAGAGTACAGAGTCATATGTATAATAGTAAGTCTAGACACATGCGTCGTAGACATAATACCATTAGACAACTTTTCACAACTGGTGTTGTCTCGATTGACTACGTAAAGTCAAAAGACAATATAGCGGATCCGCTAACCAAAGGGTTAGGAAAAGAAGTTGTGGAGAAGCTGACAGGAGGAATTATGGGTCTAAAGCCCTTGAACTAAAAAGTTCAATAGTGGATAGATACCCAACCTAGCTAGCACTTAGGTTCAATGGGACAACTAAATTAAAGAACGAAACGTGTCACTGTAGGGGTCTTTGACTCCCTACCACTCCTCGTTAAAACAGTGATTCCTGTACGAGGTTAGCACGTTGATGCTTTAATGATTCGAATGTCGGTTGACATGTGTGAGTATGCGGGATACTCGGTAAAGAATCACCTATGTGACAGAGAAGTGAGGGTCGCTTCAAAGGAGAATTGAACCAGGCTCAATTCTTCACAAACTCTTGCAGAACCAAGAACGGTGACCCATGACCAAAACGGGCACAGTCATGAGAACAGAGCATGGTTGGGAGGTTCCTGTGTGAGATATGTCATCGTCTACACAAACGGCAGTAGGTTCAAAGACATCGTGTTCTACCGTACAACTAGTAAAGTAAATGTATCTTCACGAGGAAAAGGTTCAAAGGGTAACACCTACCTATCCTATGCAGGGATCGACCGTTGAACACGGTTGTTTCTGATTTCAAAATACCCTGAAAATCAATTTTTCATTCATGTGGGGGATTGTTGGAAAAAATAGCTTCAAATGGCATATTAAGTGGCTATTTTGTGGTACAATTATCAGTGGGGTCCACTTCCGATTTGGGTCGGGTCAAAATGGATTCGGCTTCTTCGTAGTGAGACGAAGAGATCAATATATTGTACGCTCAAAACGGATAATGGGTGAATGAGATATTGATTCTCAAAGTAGACCCATTGAGTTGCAAAAATGAAGGGAAAAAGTGAAGCTTTTGTCCCACATTAGTTTGGGAAGTGGACTTGCACCACTATTTATACAAGAACCTTTCTAAAGCTTATTGAATTATATAGCATATAGGTTTTTTCTCTCTCTCGCGTGCGAGGTGCAAACCACATCCCAGTCGAAACGAGAGCTGGAGCCAGGCGGAATAACAAGAGTTTGACTGTTGTGAGATTAAATTCATCCGTTACGGAATTAATCTTATATTAATTCCAATTTTTAAATTCTGAATTTAATCTCACTTAGTGGCCTTCTGTTTCAGGTGTTACAAGCTGATTTTGAATCAGTCTTGAATGCCAAATTAAATGCTATTTAATCCTCAAGCCCTATATAAGAGAGGGTAGAGTAGCAAAAATTTTCATAACAAGAAAGCATAATTTCCAGCTCCAAAACTCTCTGCATCTATTCCTTTCTTTAGCCGAATTGTGTTCTAAACTCTACTCTAGTTCGCCGGGTTCATTGTTTGGATGCTCAAACAATTGAATCATAGCACGTTTTATCCTGAGAGACCTAGGCTACAACACTCCTAGCACTTGTGGGAGTTAGCAAATAAGATTTTAAGAAAAGTGTAATTCGCTTGACTCGTGCTAACAACCTACACCGAACCCGAGCCTATCTCTTCACCCTTTCCTTCCCAATTTTTCTGAAAATAATAATCCTTATTTTTTAGGATTATTATAGGATTTTGTCAACGAAATATCCAACAATTAACTCCAGCTATCTACAATATTATTCTTGAGTTATTCCTTGTCCTTTACTTGGACTATAGTTTATACTATTTATTATTCTTTAGGTCGGTAACTCGAGCTTTTGTACATACTCTTTTGGGGCCTAGCGCCTTGAGTAATAAAATATATATTTTCCTAGCCTCTATTATATACATCAATACCCGATTTATGGTGGACGCGGTCCCGACAAAATCATCCAGGATGATCCTTGCCTACCATGGTAGAGCAAAGGAAAGCAGAAAAATTTGTTCAGCCTTCTCAAACGATATATAACTAAGAAAAGAATTTAAGCAGTTGTTCATCTTCAATTCTTTTTATACGCATTACCACTTGTTTATCAAGTATTAATTAAGTATTTTGGTTTTTATTAATCTTTTTGCTTTCGCAATGTTATTTTCAATTGGATCAGAATTATGATGAGAAATCTCTGGTATAAGAATATGATGAAGTTACCGTAATAATTAATTATCTGAATACATGTCATGCTATTTAATTCCATGCTCTATAAGTTAAAAGGGTGAGTGATCTGGTAATACTTAAAATGAACCCGTAATAAAAGTTGTTAAACTATATAAGATTAATTTAGATAATGAATTTATATTCTTAGTATTTTTCATTGCTAAATTGCTTGTCGGCGTTCTTCTGCTTAATAGCTTGATTTTTGAATTCCATTCCTTTTAAGTAATTTAGGGAATTGATTTAATTCTTTAATTTTCATAAATCTTTTTTGATTGTCTAATTATTTTATTGAGTTATGAACGATTCCTCATAAAATCAACCCTTACTTTTGCACACTGTGTAACTACATAATTAATGTACTTGTGAGGACTATTAAAAATTTTTATTACTAAAACTTTTTACAATGGAGGTGTTTTACCTAAATCCTCCCTCATACATACATACATACATACATACACAAAGGGTCAGGTTGACGTGCGGACAGTTATTCCCGTGGTGGTCACGCAAGTAGACAAAAATGCACTATTAAGTGTGGTGCATTTGTTTGGTGCATTTCCGAACAATGTGTACTACATTTATGTATATCTAATGGTGCAATTTGCACCAACCGCACCGAAAGCCATGTCCTCATTTGAGTATATATATATATATATATATATATATATATATATATATATATATATATATATATATATATATATATTTTCAAATACAAACCCCCCTTAAAATACAAACTGTGTGCATGTAAGTATGTTAATGTATGCATGAGCTAATCCCAGATATTGTTGGCAGTGTGCCAAGTGTGCATGTAAGTATGTTAATGTGTGCACGAGCTTAGATGGATGGTTGTGATTTTTCTTTCCTACGCGCTGAGTGCATGTAAGTATGTTAATGTGTGCATGAGCTTTGATTGATGGTTGAGATTTTTCCTCCTACGAGCTATGTGCATGTGAGTATGTTAATGTGAGCACGAGCTAATCTCAGAAATTATTGGCAGTGCGCCTTGTGTGCATGTAAGTATGTTAATGTGTGCACGAGCTCAAATTTATATTTTAAGGGGGATTTGTATTTTAAGGGAATTTGTATTTGAATGCAACCCTATATATATATATATATATATATATATATATATATATATATACACAGAGAAACACACTACTAGAAGATTTTAAAAAATCTTGTATTTTTGTACATGGCATTTTCTTAGGTGGTCCCCTTAACAGGGATGGGGATGGGCAGACTAAATGGGCTAGACCTTCTGCAACTTTCTTTGTTGTTTTGTGGAAAAATTAAAGCACATAACAAAAAACTAGTTTCTATTTTTTTTAAGGCTATTACATTCATAAGAGCTACTGTATATTTTAGGATAGTGATGGCAAGTTTTCTTGTTATTTAAAAAATAAATAAATAAAATAAAATAAGAAGAAGAAGACCTGGTTTCTCAATACCATTTTAGAACACCTATTTGGTAGTTAAGACGTTGAATAAATTTATTTTATGTTGTTTTAGATCAGATGTATAATTTGTTTACAAATTTCTATGATACTAGCTAGCGCTAGTCACATTCAATACAACCACACATACATCATATATAGGTATATCGGGTATAATCAATATCATTATACTTTTATAAATCTTATTTATCAACAACAAATTAGATATTATAAAAATTAAATTATATATAATTTCATTCAATAATTTAAAATCAATGAAAATATTGTTAGTGGTGCAGTAACTATTGTCCAAAGTTTGATAAAATCACAGAGATCTGCCACGCGCAACAAAATTGCGGTGGTTGACTGACCGGGGGTTGCAGCATGCAACCATGGTAGTTGTCAATAAGCTGATTCTAGCCCGACACTAAAAAATGTGGCATCAACTATGCACATGTGAGTTTTGAAAAAATTCAAGCTTATTTTGTTATCCCGCTAGAAATCAGTTTAAGTTGTCTATAATTAACCGTTCAAATTGAATAAAAAACTGAATAGATTTAAGTTAGACTCTTTGAACACAAAAATGTACAATTTGATATCATATATCTTAATTTACATTTTCTTGGACCTAGGAGCAAGTTCATAAAATTCAAGATATAGTCTAATCAAATTGCATTAATTAATTTTCAAAAAAAAAAAAATTGCATTAATTAGACTGACCTGACCTACGTTAATAATTTTATTTTATTTTATTTTTTAAACTAAGGGAGCCAAACTCAACACTTGGCTCCTTGCTAACCACTTTACACTGACTCGATGCAATGCATCAATTAGTATTAGTCTCACTGATGTAGCGTGTCATGTAATATTATTTTTTTTTTTTTGTTTTTTTTTAGGATAGATGGTTCAAATTATTTGATTGATTGGGTGTAAACATCTTAGATGAGAGCCAACTGCATTTCTAAACTGTGTTTGGCTCAAAATTGTAAAACGTTTATACCATATCTGTTGAATAAATTAAAAAAAAAAAAAAAAAAAAAAAACGAAAGAATAATAACTCTTTAATTTAAATGCATCATCCAATAGTTCACTATTATCATTCACCAGAATTTGGTTTGAATCAAATTTTCAATCTTACGGTCACATTAACCTATCCCAAATGTTAAAGTTAAAAACAATCTTTTTTGAATTTCAATAAAATTTTATTTAATAAAAAAGTTCCAAAAAGAAAAAGATAATTCCTATATAAAGAGTCTCCATGTTTGGTGTTGCCACACACGACATATCCCAATGGCATTGGCTTGCCCATCCCTAGCCTTCAAATTCACACCAATTATTTCCACCTTTTTCCTTCTATTCATAATTCCAAAACCCATAGCCATAGCTGCTTGCCCCTACACATCCATCTTTGCATTTGGGGACTCTCTTACAGATGTGGGAAATAGGGTTCTTCTCTACCCTAACCACTCTCACATGGGCGATCCACCTTATGGAGAAACATTCTTTCATCATCCCACCGGCCGCTGCTCCGATGGTCGTCTAATCATAGATTTTATAGGTATTTACTATCACAAAAATTCATATAAAATCGTCTTACATGAGCTAATAATCTCAAATATACAATGTTATTAGTTTCTAGTGAAAATGCAATACTTACATTTTACCAATATTGTTTATTATTTATATTCAAATCAACTTTCTTTCTCACTTATTTTCTTTAACATTTTCATATAATTTTTAAATTTTATATTTTGTGTCTAATAGTAGTATTTCTCTTGTAGTGTTAAAATATATAAATTTTATACACTAATACCAATTACCAACTATTATATAATGTGATAAAACCTCTATTATCATTCCAAATGGGTGGTCACACCATCGAATCAGTGAAAATATTAACTGATATAAAAATATTATATTTTCGTTAAAGATATACATAAGTTTCAAACAAAACTAACCGAATATATATATATAGCACTCTACATGCTGGAAATTGATCTTATTATTAAGTTTTGGTTTGGAGGGTTTTAAATTACATGTTAAATTAGTCCAAACTTTTTGGTCAAGTGGTAACAACTTTTGACTTTAGATTAGAATGTCAAAATTTCGACCTTCAACACTTCAATTGTACCTAAAAAATAAGAAGTAAAAATTTACATGTTAAATTGTGATATTTCAGCGGAGTACTATGGAGTGCCATTTATGCCTTCATCAGCTAGTGTTATGATGAATGGCGGCGGAAACGGGTCAAGTATTGACGGAGGTGTGAATTTCGCGGTTGCCGGAGCAGCGGCAGTCGACTCGGCGTTCTATGAAGAAAGAGGAATAGTTAATGTTGATACAAATTGCTCCCTCAGAGTTCAGATGAGATGGCTCAATCAATTGTTGCCAATTTTCTGTGCCACACCATCAGGTTATTATTATTATTATTATTATTATTATTATTATTATTATTATTATTATTATTTCTTCAAGGTTTATTTTTCTATTCAACTTTACAACGAAGAAATAATTTTGTTTGATATGATATTATATTATAGTCAGGATTTTTGGATAGGAGAGATGAGAGGAAAATGTGCAAAAAAAAAAAAGGAAAAAAAACAAGCTTCAAACAAAAACAAAAAAAATTAAAACATTAATTACATACGCGCCCAGCCTGGCGCGTGCACGTCGCCTGTTGTGCGCCTCACACGAAAAGGAGGTTGTCTTCACTGATTTTGTGGGACCCACAATTCTGAAAAAACTTGGGTCTTTGTCGGGAGACCCAATTCCCTCTCTCTCTCTTCCATGTGACAAAAAGATCTGCAAAAACCAACAAAAGCACCTAATGTGGATGCCCTAATATGACATTGACCAATTTATGCATGTATAAATAGTTTTAACAATTTTTTTTAATTGATAATTGTGTTGCAGAATGTAAGGAAAAGCTCAAAACCTCACTATTTGTGTTGGGACCATTCGGGAGCAACGACTATCGTCGTGCATTGGGCTATGGAAAAGACGTAGAAGAGATAAAATCATATGTCCCTCTTGTTATTGATGTCATTACCACAGCTATCAATGTAAGACCATATATTATTATATGGATGCATGAGTTTAATTTACACAATCACAATTATAATTTTTTTTTTTAAAAAAAAGTGATTTTTTAATTGTGTAATGATAAATTATAGTCTAATAAGAAACAAAAATAATGTATGTAGGATTTGATTGAATTTGGTGCAACAACAATCATGGTGCCTGGCATATTACCAGATGGTTGTATAGGCAGTGTCCTCACAGAATTTGAAAGTGAGAAGAAGGAAGATTATGATCCTGATACTGGTTGTCTTATTTGGGTGAATGAATTGTCTGAGTACCACAATCAACATCTTCAACAACGACTCAACACCATTCAACATCATAATCCTCATGTTCTCATAATCTATGCTGACTTTTACAATGCTACTATGGAGCTTTATCGTCATCCCGAAAAATATGGTAATTAAATTTATATTTTGTTAAATTTTACAATATAAATTTTCGGGCTGTTTGGTAAATAGCTGTTAGCAAATTGGGTTAGCGGGTTTGACTAGTTGATAACATTAGCTGATTGTAGAAAAGTGTTTGATAAATTAGTTGTTAGTTTATATAGCTGATTACATGCAAAATGACTTATCCAAAAACTGATCAAAAAAGTTACTTTTAGCTTTTTGAATATTAATATTTTAGAATAATAAGTTGTTACAAAAAATTAAATAATAAAACACTTGTATTGATTGTTTAACTAAGTCAAACAACTAATAGTAATCAAATAAGTTAAAATTGACTAATAAGTTAACTATATTATCAAACAGGCCAGAGCTTTTATTTTATTTCTAATATGTTGAAGGATCATACGGACAACAATCTTTAATTTTTTCTATTATATTCTATTTTCCTTTTATCTTTTCATTTTATCTCATTAATATTGGTTGAAAGTACAAATAGTATAAATTTTCTTAGATTGAATTAAAGAAAATAATAGGCTTTTAATTAGATATTATTTGTTAATGTATGTGCAGGATTCACATCAACCCTTGCAGTTTGTTGTGGGGTAGGTGGAAAGTATAATCTCAATAAAGATGTGGGGTGTGGTGACATACGAGTAAAGAGTTGTCCAGAACCATGGCATTATATTGATTGGGATGGAAATCACATGACAGATAGAGCAAATAAAATAGTTTCCATGTCTCTAATGGATGGAACTTATACAACTCCATCCATCAACACTTTGTGTGATTCATTTAAAAAATCCACCTACTACATTTAACCTTATATATTTTAAAATATAAGTGTTTACCAATGTGTTCTAGATTACTAAAATTCCCTATTCAATGAATGTCAATGTTAATTCCCAATTAATTGCTTTACTATTTCACTTTCAAACATGCTGAGGAATACATTTTAGCCTTGGTTTGTTAAGTTAGAGTAGGGTAGGAATGAGCAAATTATTCTGTGGACCTGGGTTCACTTTGCATGGTGAATCTAAATTTAAAAATACACAATTTACAAATTAAATGCTACAATTTATACATTGAATGTTCACAATTTTACGTACTAAATGTTCACAATTTACGTACTAAATGTTCACAATTCAAATTGTCAACATTCAGTATGTAACTTGTGTATTTTGAACTCGAGACCCGAGTCCATGGTACAATCATTATGTTGTGGAACCATGTGCACTTTGCAAGGTGGACACGGTTCTATGTTCATAATTACTAAATTATATGTTCATAATTATAAAGTTATATATTCATAATTTTTGAACTTCATATTCATAACTATTAAACTCTATATTCACAATTACAGAACTATATGTTCATAATTATAAAGTTACTAGTTATCAAACGTGCTTTGCGCGATTAGACCAATGTCCAATGTGTATTTTTAGATTAGTGTTCTTTAATTGGTTAAAGTATTCATATAATAATGAAAGCGCGAAAAATGCAAAAATCTGTAATAGTAGGATAGTGTGGATGTGGCGTTTAAATTGTAGAAATATTCGAACACTATTCACATTGTTTCTTGTTCCCATAGGAACGGTACACAAGGAAACTTAACCATAAGTTTAACACAATGTAGGCACATATAGCTATTGCAACTGTAAAATTTTGTGACACCAAATAGGATATTCAATAAGATATTAAATAGCAAACTAATCCATATTGCCACACATATTTAATAGGTAAATAAAGTTCATTTTAATTTTGAAATAATATGTTAGTTAATATAATTGTTGAGGCTTGAAATTGTCTTCATCTTTTCCATCTTTATATCTTTTTGTTGGTTATTGTGTTTTTATTGCATCTTGGTTACTGGTGGTAGTGAATGAGAATGATTCTTGCAATGATAAGTTTCCTTTTTGTTGGTTGTGTCTTTATTACATCTTGGTTACTGGTGGTAGTGAATGAGAATGATTCGTGCAATGATGCTATGGTATATGATACCATGTCTTTGCCTTGTTGTGTATAAGATTGAGACTTCAATTGTATTATTTATTCTTCATCTTGTAAGCGGTTATTGATAGTTCAAATTTTTAGCTGTTAAAAACCCTACATGATGCATATGTAGTTAGTCATAGGTTAATTTAATGTAAAACATGAGTGTTTGGGGTTGGAAGAGGAGCAGTACATATTATTCTAATTGCATAACTTGTTTACTGGTTAAGAGTAATAGTTGTTCGGCACATTTCCTGTTTCCCAAACACGGATGCAACAAGCTAAGGCATCCACTTCCATATGTAATTAAACATTTAAAAGCCAATCTCTTTCTCATCATAATTAAGAAACCTTAAGACGCTTCATCAATATGACCAGAACTTATCAACTCTAAAAAGGAATCATGAGTAAACAACATTAAGGACATCGTAACTTGACCAACAAAACTATTCTAAAACTATCAAGAAATGATCCAGTACTAAAAAATGCACAACACTACCTGCAGAAACATTGATAAAAACCACCAAACATGGAAAACTGGAAAAGTGAAATGCTACTATCAAAGACAAGGCGAGGTTTACCCGGTCTACACTTTAAAAGTTGCGTCGTGTGAACCGGAATTGCAAAGACAAACAAAATAATAAAGCTGGAAAACACCATACATAAAACTGGTCAGAAAGCTAAAATCCATAAGAAAATTTGTCTAATAGTTCCACTAAAATCTTCTTAGCTATTAAAATTTAAACTGGAAACTTGACAGCAAAATCAATTAATGAATGGAAATGCTTCTAATATTCTATTAAATAAATGTAAGGAGATCCATCGCGCAGCACTGTTGGGTAATGGGCAGAGGCGAATGGTTTTCAGGCAATGATTCCATTGACAAACAAAATAAAATTTCACAAGATATCTAGCATATATCTTAGTCGAATTGTTAAACAAGAAAATGGTAAATGATATAGTACCAAGGTTCCTTTAAGGTCAGTGCAGCTTCTAGACGCTTGTGGCAATCGGATATCATCATTCTGGATTCAGCCAGCACGTTTTCCTGCATAATACATATACAAAATTGTTTAACAAAATAAAACACAAGGAGAATAATGATATTGATAATATGCAGACCATAGAAAGAGCATGTACATTTATCACACTTTAAAAGCTTCAACTTTAAGAGGCTAATGGTGGATCATGGACACATCACCCAATCCACACAACCAATATATCATCAAGTGGGAAACAACATCAAATTCTTCACTAAATTTCGAGAATAACTTCACTAAGCCAACAAAAGACGTTAGCCTTTGCACAAGGACAGGTAAAATACAATTCTCAAGGATGACATGCATAATTGCTTTTAGTCTCCTGTCAACATCTATGTGTGCGTGAACATGCAAAACTAAATCAGGGTAATGCAAAACCTCTTCACAGTCTATCAGCTTTCAAGATCATCTAAACAATAGACTACCACAAACCAGTTAGGTCCAAAGTGGAATTCACAATTCACATCTATTAAGGGAAACAATGGAAGAATATCACTCACTGAATGTATTAGTCACCAAACAACCACCAAAACATCAGCTTCATGCCTTCATTATACTAACAATTACATTTTTTTGCAAAAACAACATCTAATAGTATCCAAAGTGCATTAAATCTACATTGTGCAATCCCGAACATCTAATAGTATCCAAAAAAAAAAAAAAAAATCAAACAGAAAACACAGACTGGATTAGTGCCCAAAATTAATTCCATAAAAACACTTGTTAGTTGCCCATATACTTTTTCAGGGCAACAATTTGTATAAAATAATAACACAAGCAGCTATAGTCAAAATCAGAAAAGAAAATCAAGAATTGTTAGAATAGTATTCAAACTAAGCACCAACAATGAAGCCTCTCTTTGAGGTAATAACTCAAACACTTGGTGTGAAGTCCAATTTTCAATGTTATATATAATCACTACAATCGACTTTTAAATAAAACCTTCTTTTTAATTTAACAATTTTTCAGTATATGACTTTGATATTACCTCTCTGGCGTCTGCAGAATGATGAAAAATTGAAGGACAGCTGAGAGAATTCTTCCCAATCCGCAGAGAGAATAGCAGGTTGCTGCCCTAATTTCTTTGAAGAAGAACAGCAGTTAGAAATTGCCATCTGATTTCACCTAAACTACAAAATTTCCACCGCCACTTAAACTTCACAGCAGCTGTTTTTTTTTTGAAGGTCAATCTTGCGATTGTATTAATGAATCAAAGCCGAAATAGCGTCAGGTGGGATAGTATCCCAGTACATAGCTTGATCCTGTGTAAAAGCTAACGAAGCTAAAGTATGCGCATGTAAATTAACCTGTCTAGAGATGTAATCCAAAGTAATACGATTAAATAAAGACATAAGTGTTCTGCATTGGTCAATTGTGACCCCAACGTACGAATGGATCGGTGTGTGTTGGTGCCGGATAATCGTAGTCAATTCCATGCAATCCGTGAGTAAAATTACTGATGTGTTGTTCCGTTCAAGTAACCAGGACAGTGCTTCCTTGTATGCCTGGGCCTCCGCCATAAGTAGTGAAAAACAAATCGATAATTTGCCATTCCTTGCTGCCACAAAAGAGCCATCTGGCGCTATTATCAACATGCCGTACGTAGCCTCGCCTGTGTCGTGTCAGTAACCCGCGTCCACATAACACCGTAGACCGCCCTCCCTTGGTTCAGTTAAATGCTCCGAAGCCGCTGCTGGCTCCGTACGGCTGGCCTGGGCAGCGCCGTATGCCTGTAGCGCTACGGTTGCTGCTCTGGCTAACTGGGCAGGCCGCGTCATTGATCCCTTCCAAACAGCTGAATTCCGGGCTTTCCAGATATAATATAATATTGCTACCATCAACCGTGTATGCTCCTCCGTCAAGACCGCCATAGCCCCTTTTAGCCATGTTGTAAAAGAGTCTGCAATAATATTAGTGATAGGCAATTGTGTTATATTCCATACAAGTCTAGAATATTCACAGAGCACTAAAGCATGTAACACATCTTCATGATCTAAACCACACATTGGGCATGTTGGGTCCACCTCCACCCTTTTAAATATCAAGTTAATGGTTGTTGGCAAAATGTCACATATAGCTCTCTACAAGAAAGTTTTCCATTTGGGGGGGGACTTTTACTTCCCACATTGTAATCCATTTATTGAAAATCGTGGGATTATTTTCAGTCACCCACAATACGCCTATAGGCATTCTTGACTGTATATGTCCCCTTTGGGTCACTCATCCAATACCATGAGTCCTCATAATCAGGACTAATAGGGATCGTATTTATTCGCTCCACATCCTCAGGAATAAACAAGTCAGACAAAATATGTGGATCCCAGGTATGAGTCTGTAAATCAATTAATCCTGCAACCTGTGCCTCTCTCAATTGCTCTGGCATTTCTGTTTGAATCAATGGGCTAGGATTATCTTGTAACCACGGATGCCCCCATATTAAAGTTGTCTGTCCATTCCCAATCCTCCTTCGCACCCCTGAGACTACCATTGCATGGGCTGCCATTATACTTCTCCAACAGTAACGTGGGCAATTACCAATAGTTGCATATGTAAAACTGGTTGTGGGATAATACCTTGCCTTATAGATTTTAGCTGCGAGTGTTCCTGGGTCCGTCAAAAAACGCCATGCCTGTTTTCCCAGCATAGCTAGATTAAAAGCCCTTAGCTCTTTAAAACCCATACCACCATACTTTTTTGGTATGCACAACCTGTCCCAAGCCTTCCAATGTATTCCCCTGTCTCTTCCATTCCCCCACCAATACTTATTCATAGTTCGCTCAATTGACTGATAAACTGTCTCCGGTAACAAAAAGACGCTCATTGAATAGGTAGGCATAGATTGCGCTACACTTTTCAACAATACTTCCTTACCAGCCTGAGAAAGTAACTTTTTACTCCACGAACCAATTCGTTGCCTGATCTTCTCCTCCACATATGAAAAAACAGCTCTCTTATTTCTCCCTACAAAGGAAGGTAGGCCCAAATATTTCCCAAAATTGGGTGCTTGCACCACCCCCAGACAATCCGCTACCTGTGCCCTGTCATTCTCCTGGGTATTTCTGCTAAAACATATATTATATATATTATAATTCACCACCTGGCCTGACAATTTCTCATACCTTGCAAGGCACTGCCTTATAACTCCCGCCTCCTGGATATTTGCTTTAGGATACTATCATCCGCAATAAATAAGTGTGATACAGGCGGTGCCCCCGTTGCTATTCTGCATCCATGTATAGAGCCTGCCAACTGTTCATACTGTAATATCATCGAGAGAGCCTCTGCACAAATAATAAATAGATACGGAGAGAGAGGGTCTCCCTGCCTGAGTCCCCTGGTTGGTTTTACACGCCCCCTGTTATACCATTGACCATTACAGTATAACTAACAGTCGTTACACACAGCATAATGAGCTTTATCCACTTCTCACTAAAACCCATAACAGTCAGCATCCTTTCTAGAAAGTTCCACTCCATTCTGTCATAGGCCTTTGACATATCTAGCTTCAATGCACTCCAACCCACTACACCACATTGCTTTCTATTCAGATAATGCCCCACCTCTGCCGCTACCAAGATGTTGTCAGTGATTAGCCTTCCCGGGATAAAAGCACTCTGGGATTCTGATATTAATCCTCCCATTAGTGTTTTCATCCTATTTGCTATCATCTTGGCCATAACTCTGTAAATGACATTACTCAACGCAATCGGCCTTAAACCTGCAACTGTCTCAGGCATCTCTTTCTTAGGGATCAAAACAATGTTAGTATCATTTAATCCCTCGGGGAATACACAGGAGTTCAACGCATTCGTTATAAAGCCAGATACATCTCCTCCCACTATCTCCCAAAACTGCTGGCAGAAACCCGGGTTTAACCCATCCGGACCCGGTGCCTTATCCGGATACATTGAAAAAAGAGCCTCTTTAACCTCATCAGTTTCAAAAGGGCGGTCTAGCATCATACTCTGTTCTAACGTGACTCGTGGGGTTAGGACCCCAAATAGCGGATCATCACAGCTCAATCCATTAGAGGCAAAAATATTGTCAAAGTAATTCAGTATAGTGGAATGCATATCATCCCCCTCCACCCAGTTACCAGCATCACATTTAATACTAGAAATAAAATTCTTTTTCCTACGTGCAGAGGCATACCTGTGATAGAATTTTGTGTTTGCGTCAGCCCCGCGTAGCCAGTGCTGCTTGGCTCGCTGCCTCTAGAACACATCCTCCTGGGCCTCTATTCGTTTCAGGGAATTCTCAATCTGCTGGTACTCGGCTAGCGCCACCAAATCTCGCCTATTCCGTATGGCATCTTGCCTCTGCTGTAGCTGGTTAATTCGTTTTCCGAATTTATGAAACTGGTCTCCCCCCCACCGCATTAACTTCTCCCCACACAACTGCTGACAATGCAGCAATCCCTCCGTTTTCCCCTCTTGCCAGGCCGTTTCTACTACTTCTTTGCACCCCTCATCTAACAGTCAAGCCATCTCAAACCTGAATCTCCGCGGCCCCCTTCCCCTTGGCATGCAAATCGCATTAATACTGAGGAAAAGGATCGAGTGATCCGAGGCCCGGGTTCGAGTGTTCTCTAACCATGCATTCTCATTCATCAGACCCCAATCATTCGTTATTAGAGCCTTGTCCAACCTTTCCTCTATCCAATTCGGCGTCCCCCTTCCCTTTTGCCACGTATATTGGTGGCCTCTCATTGGCATTTGCATCAAACCACAGTCATCCACAGCATCTCCGAAACCTCGTAACAGACTATTAGGATACGGATTTCCCCCCTTCTTCTCAAGCTAATATAGAAGATTATTAAAGTCCCTTATCACCACCCAGGGCAACAAGGATCTATTCTTCAGAGTGCGAAGTAAATCCCATGTCTCCTCCCGCCTATTTCGTTCGGGGATACCATAGATACATGTCATGCGCCAGAACTTATTAAACAAGCTTACTTCCACATCAATATGACTTTGCGAGTAGCTTAATAGTCTTACCGTATTATTCTTCTTCCAAAAAAGCGTCATTCCTCCACTCAATCCATAGTTATCAACATAAAACAAACCCTCATACCCAAGCGTAACACGGATCCGTTCTGCATGTACCCGTGGCACCTTGGTCTCCATCAAAAACACAAAATCAGGCTTCTTACTGGACGCTAGGCCCACAATCTGTCGAACTGTGCATGGATTGCCCAAGCCACGACAGTTCCAGCTCAAAGTACTCATGCTGATGGGCGGGGCTGGGCACCAGCTCCCGCCATGGACAAGTTTTTTGAAACAGCAGCGATTGTTACCTCATCATTTCCACTATCCTCTCCCCCCTCCGTCCCATGCCTACGACGCTTCGCCGTAGCCACCACCACCTCATCCTCAGACATACTCGTGGGTGTGACACCCCCACTTCCCTGTCCCCCATCCACTGACCCAACAACACGCGGCTTGACTCCCAGTGGTCGTGGTTTCCCGCCAACCGGCACGAGCCAGCTATCCCCAACTGCTCTAGGAGCGCTCCGGGACCCACCAGCTCGCATATCCGGACCGTACAGGTACCTTTCGACCGGAATTCCAGCCTCCCTAGCGTGTATGCAGAAAGTATGCAAGTGCCCCATACAACCACAAAAGTAGCAAAACTTATGCAGCCGTTCATACCTGAAATTGACCCATGCTGTAGTCCCATCTCTCTTCATCAACCTCATCCTCCTTCTAAGCGGCCTATCAACCGAAATTGACACTCGAATACGGTGAAAAGTTAGCCATGGCGCCCCTTAAAATCGCTCATCATGCTTAACAAAAGAGCCCAAAAAATTCCCTGCCTGTTCCAGAATTGCATGTGACGTGTATCCCCTCGGCATATCATGCAATTGTACCCACATGTCAATCATATCCAGCTCTACATCCACAGGATTCACCCCGTCCAACACCTCACGACACACAAGTGCATTATTCTCAAAAGCCCAGGGACCCCCATTCAGAACATAGTCCATATCTGTTTTATGGAAAAAAACAAACAAGAACAAACCCCTCTGAATCTCCGTTACATGTACCCCACGCACCGACTGCCAAACTAACGCTAATACCTGCCTCATAAAATCCAGTTTAATTA